ATGCCATTGGAAGATGGGACTCCCAGGTCGGAAGATGGCCAAAATGCTACTGGGGAGGAGCAGAGGATAAGTTCAACTAGCCCCAGATGTGATGACGCAGCTAGCTCAAAGCTGAAAGGAAGGCTAGCGGCCGACGGTACTGGAGGCGAACGACGAATCCGATGCTCTAAAGATCAACACACCATAGGAACCTGGAATGTAAGATCTATGAGCCAGGGCAAATTGGATGTTGTTACCTTGAGCGAGCTGGGGGTGGTAACGGCCGACAGAGAGCTCTGGCGTGGGCTGGTCCATGAGGTCACGAAGAGTCGGAGACGACTGAACGAATGAACAACAACAAAGTTACCTCTCAGCACCAATTCTAAGGTTCTTACCCTTGAGACTTATGCTTCATGTTCAGATCAACCTGGATGACACTGAGAAGTCTCAAGCGCCTTCAGACCAGTTCTTTGGCACCAGAGGAAGGCTTAGTCCCTTCAAAATATAGGCCATTGGAATTGGGGTTTTGATTATTCCGATATTCACAGCCATTGAGAAAGAGGGACCTGGAAATGCTTCTCAGCTGCAAAACTCCTTGGACCCAAGACAACCAGAGACTGTAATGTATATTTTCCTTTACCCCTTTGAAACTTCCAGCTTATTGCCTTAAAGGGATACCTCTTTGTGAACAATTAAACTTATTTTGAGTTATCTACAGTGTTTTGCTCTTTGGGAGTTCCAGTTTCCTAAAGGACGGCAAGAAGCAATCCCCTGGGGGAAAGATGTCACGTCCATGCCTCTTTCACTAAGAGTTATAGCCCCCGGGCACGATGGCACAGGTTGTTAATGTTTTGTCCAGCAATTTTAATTCCAGCCATGGATTCGTCAAGCCCTGTATGTCACATGATGTGTTCTGCATACAAGTTGAATAGGTTGGGTGAGAGTAAACAGCCCTGCCGTACGCCTTTCCCAATCTTGAACCAGTCTGTTCCATGGTCAGTTACGACTGTTGCTACTTGGTTGTTATACAGATTCCTCAGGAGACAGACAAGGTGACTTGGGATCCCCATACCACCAAGAACTTGCCACAATTCTGATATAAGATAAGTTACTGTTTTGGGCAACAACTTCCAGAATCCACCAGCTAGTAACTTATCCCAAATTCTGTAATTGCCACCAAGATCCATCTCATTCTATTTTCAGCAGCTGCCACCCAGCTGGTGCCTCTTAGCCGTGGACTGTGGGCAATCCTCTACTATACTATGCACATTTGGGTCCGTGGCAATTCTTTGGCACTGCCTTCTTTTCAAGCTGTTTGGTTCTCCCCACCTCATCCTCCCAGTCGTCCTCCCCCTCACTTTTGCATCTGAACTATGCCATCAATTTGAAATGTAGTCTGAACTGTTATCCCTGCCTGCAAAATGTAATTTGATTCCTTCTGCCTCTTACTGTTTGATGAGAACCCTTTGTATTTTCATGCTTTAATACAATCTGGCACATAATTACCAGTGACTCACCGATAATCTCAGTCATGGAGCTCTCTGAAATTAGATGATAATTTTGCCTGGAATTTGTGTAACAAGAAGGAAGAGAAGAAGACTTATAATTATTCCAAAAAGATCCTCTCCTCTCTCTGTCCATCTAACCCTCTTTTCCCTTTTCCAAGGAGATGCTCTGCAAGCTGTCAGAGGCCAAGAAGTCTTTAAACCCCTTTTGCCTGTCACTCTGTACCAGGAAAACGGAGGATGATCTCTGTACATTTTCATCCGCATACAATTGTCTGTAATTGCTACTGACAGATGGGAGTGGATTTGGAGGAGGGGGAATCTCAGTAAACCAGACCTGGGCAGCTCTGCTTCATTGGCGATAAACAAGACAAACACAGAATTAGGAACCAGTTGCAAATAACAAGTTACTTGTAATCAGTTCCTCATGCCAATAACTCCATCACATTATACTTATGATAAAAAGGGATAATTTCAATGTATTGTCGAAGGCTTTCATGGCTGGAATCACTGGGTTGTTGTAGCTTTTTTCGGGCTATATGGCCATGTTCTAGAGGCATTTTCTCCTGACGTTTCACCTGCATCTATGGCAAGCATCCTCAGAGGTAGTGAGGTCTGTTGGAACTAGGAAAAAGGGTTTATATATCTGTGGAATGACTAGGGTGGGACAAAGGACTCTTGTCTGCTGGAGCTAGGTGTGAATGTTTCAACTGATCACTTTGATTAGCATTTGATTCCCTGGCAGTGCCTGGAGCAATCTTTTGTTGAGAGATGATTAGATGTCCTTGTTTGTTTCCTCTCTGTTGTTGTACTGTTATAATTTTAGAGTTTTTTTAATACTGGTAGCCAGATTTTGTTCATTTTCATGGGATAATTTCATTCCTCTGATGGCATATTTGAGTTACTTTTGTAATTTTGAATTTATGATTGTTATAGATCAGCATTTCTCAACCTGGGAGTCGGGATTCCTGCGGGGAGGGGGGGGTGTCATGAGGGGGTGTCAAAGGGGTCACCAAAGACCATCAGAAAACACAATATATCCTGTTGATCATGGAGGTTCTGTGTGGGAAGTTTGGCTCATTCCTAAGGTGAACATGCTGCAGTTTAGCGCATTGGACTTCACTCCCAGAATTCCTCGCCATTGGACAAGCTGGCTAGAAATATAGAATCATAAGAGTTGGGAAATACCCCATGGGACATCTAGTCCAACCCCCTGCCAAGAAGCAGGAAAATCACATTCAAAGTACCCCCAACAGATGAACTCTACGTGGGGTTGCCTCTGAAGAC